CTGCTCATCTACCTCATGACCTCAGGTTCATGTTCTGCAGACAGTCAAATTTTCCTATGATTACACTTTGCATGCTGTAGAGTGTGGATGGGACACCGGTGGTTAATAAGCTGACACTGTGTAAAGACCAGTAACACCCTGTGTGGTGTTTCAGATAATTGTATCTGCTGCCATAAAGTGTAATAATGAATCGTGAGCGTATCATGAGGACCAGATCACTATGTATGTGTGCTGAATGTATTTTTATTAGCAGTAAACTGAACATCAGTTTTTTGTTTGTTTGCAGTGATTTCCATGACAGAACCATTCCTGTTTTCAATGCAGTGCCACGTGATGGCCTGGAGATCACGGCCATTTAATACTGACTTTTTGCACTTGTTCCCTGTGCACAGAGATTCCTCTAGATTCTCTGAATATTTTGATGATATACTATGATGAAATATTCAGCGATTTTATGTTATTCTGAAATTGTTTCACAATTTTTTTTGCAGATTGGTGATCTTCAGCCCATCTTTACTTCGGAGAAACTCTGCCTCCCTAAGATGCAGAAATATTCCTGACCTGTTGCTAATTAATCTAATAATTTGCTAAACGTTTCACTAGTTGAGAACAAGGTAACATAGGGTTTTGAAATTGACATCGTAGATGTCTAATATGAGGCTGAGGATTAGCGCTGCCAACCACCAGTATTTTTAGTGAATGTTAATTCACGTAATAGGGCTAGTGGGAATATTTTTATGGGTACTTGCACATTTGGTGTCAAAAGACATGAAGGAGGAGGAGAATGGAACAAAGGCCACAACAAACTTTTATGGTGATAATAAATCAACTTGAGGGAAAGGTGGGATAAACAAGAGTAAGTTGAAGTGTACTAAAGGAGAAATGAGGTGAAGAGGGAAAAGGAGATACATTTGTACATACTGAACTGATCAGCACAGGATACATTGTGTGAAATATGAGGCAGAAAGAAGGCAATTCAATTTCATTCAAGTCCTCAGAAGAAAAAACTAATAGATATTTTAAAAATGCCAACTTATCTGATAAAAATAATTATTTTTGTTTTTAAAGTCGTAAATAAACAGAAGTTTCGATCCAAGCTCCACACCAGCTCGTGGCGGTAATGCAATCATTTATGGATTGTTTTTGATTGAATCTTTATTTTGAACTTGTTGAAAAAGTATAACAACATGGAATTAAAACGAGACAAA